ACACAATTATACACACTTACAAGAGTGAAAAATCAAGGTAGTATACATAATATCATTGTAATCCTAAGGTTTCCTAACTATTACAGTTCTAGTGCGATGGTGAGTGGGTGGTGAAATAAATGTTTGTGATCATTAGAGATGTATATTAGGATGATACGAAAGAGATGTATATTAGGATGATACTCTCCTGCTTAAAAAAAATGCAAAAGTGAAATGACACAAGGCTTGAAGGATGCTTATGACCAGGGGGTACGGGGGAGATCTTCTGAACCTCTTTGGTATAAATATCTCTGCTGACTGATGAGACTATTGCCCAGTTGTGTTTCTGACGGTATCATAAACTACAAAAGCAAAGGTTTGTCTTCACTTCTGTATCTTCCTTGCTACTTTATCTTTCATGCTGGAAGAATCTGCCTTTTTTAGCATCCTTTAGAGGTTTGTTTGTTTTGTTTTCCTAGGAAGTTTGTGTATAGAAACTAGTTAACTTGTATGATGAATTCCTGTTTTGTGTAGTAAGTTACAGATGGCAATATTGCTATTAATAATAGATAATTCAGACCATGTGTTAATTTTAAAACAGTTGATAACAGTGTAAAGTTCAACTTCTATAAGATCTGCTAGTTTTCAGACTGAGTTTATATAGTAATTGTGCAGCATTAATGAACACTTGTTGCAATTTTACTTAGCCTTCTCAAAACCTTTGAACTGATACATGGACAGAAAATAACTTGAGGGTTTATTTGAGGGGGCTGAAAGAATGCCAAATAAGCCTCCCACTCTCCCTCCATCTGGAGGATGACTTACCTCAGTGGATACTTGTGAACCATTTTCAACAGAAGCCAGGATTTAGTGGGTATGTTGATTGTTATACAACCGTTTAACATCTGGAACTTCTTATTATTGGAACATTAAAGACTAATTTTAACTAGGGAATACTTTTAATTTCATGTTTACTTAAAGGTTTGTATCTGTTTATGGGAGGCTTAGGGAGCGATAGTAAAGAAAGATGATTAGAGATAAGTAGTAAAGAGTCGTACAGAGCTGGAGAGAACTTTCTAGCTAAGCAGGAGCATGTTAATATTTGTTTTGCTAAATATTTCTTAAGGTTGCCCTCTCCTTAAGTTTTTATGTTCTATCATCAACTCTTAAGAATTCTGTGTAGAAAATGAGCTTATTTGGAGAAATGTGATATGATTGCTAATCATCACGCTTTCCTTACTGTAATTAATGATATGCTACCTTTTCTTCTTCTTTGTATTAATTGTTATAATTATATAAATTTAAATGAACTACAGAAACCTTGTACCACTACTGTATCCTTAATGAAGTTAAAACAATTTTTTTCCTCTTTTTACGATTTACCTAATTAAATGTACTTGAGTGTTAAATTATCAGACTGCCTGAAAAAAAAGGAGCGGGAGAGGGGAGGAACTTTCCTTTTGCCTTCAATATTTAGCATTTGTAAATATAATTTTCAGTAGTAAGTAACTAAATGACCATCCTACTCTTCCTTATTCTACTGCACATATATATGGAGTGCACTGAGCTGAAATAGCAGCAATTACGGAGCAATATCACCCCATGGATTTTTCCTATAATCCTAGTAAAACACCCTCCATTTATCTAAAATGACATATGAAATAGAGGCATAACGTGAAGTCTATACTGGTATTTCATAATTTAATGAATTTTCTCATGAAATAAAAATCTAAGGAAAACCAAAGTAATTGAAATAAGATAAGTATCCTATAGAGTTAAGTAAATGAAGCAGCATTTACACTGTTCTTGGTATGTTCATAAACTTTTTAGGTTAGTTGTTTGCCATAGAATGTGTGGATGACAGAAATGAGTTATATGAAGATATGCCGTTTTAAGTAAATCATCGTCCTTCAGCAGTATAATCTGAGATGTCTGGTCTTGTATCCCTGATTTGAAAATACGTTCAGTGGTCTCTTACATAATCACAGTTCATTTCTTATCTACGTCAAGGAAAGTTGCTGTCTCTTCTGGTAGCCTAATGACTACTAGAGTGAATTGCTTGGTGACTGTACACTTCCTGATTTGATGCTCTCATACACACAGAGAACACTTCCACAGTTCAGATTATTTCACTCATGGTGAGTTCAGAAGAAGCAACAAACAATGAAGTTTTCAAACTAATTTTGTCTCTGAAGATGCAGTCATTTGTTGCAAAAAAGAGATGCTCTCAAAATCTTGTTTTGAGAAATTTGCGTCAGTTGTCTACTTTATGCAATTTCTATTTAGAAAAGAGGCCATTAGACCGGTGCATCTATTTATTTATTTATTAAGTAGCAACTGCAAAGAAAAAGAAGTTAAACCAGAAACATAATACCTTTTCTCCCTTCCTAATTTTTGATTGTCGCTCTCCTTCCTAAATTTAGGCAAAATTAGGTTCCAGTAGAGGAAGTGTAGTGAAATTAGATGAAGCTGCGTGAAACTCAAGAGAGGTAAAGAAAATTTCATATGTCCATCTCTCATGCTCTGAAATACAAAATTCCATTTAATGTAGAAGACAAGTCTCAATAATTTTTTATTTTTTAATATAACTTTCTAAAGAACCAAATGAAACATGTAATTCATGTGATTCTTTAGGCAACTGGTAGCAAAGTACCTGCAAACTATTTAAAAATTTTATTCCACATAAGTAATACTGACATTTATTATGCATCTTTAAATGGTAGTATTGTAAATACTATTATGATTAGATATTCCAGAAAGAAGGTGTAGGTTGCATGAGCAGAGTATGGTGAGGCTTCTTGCCTTACAAGTAACGTCCTGCCTAAAACTTTCCTCAGTCCCCAAATTTCTCTTCACCATTTGGACTCTGCCTTTTTTACAAATTTGAGAATTAATTCAGTCTCAGACCTCCTACTTATAGTCTTGTTCTTATATCCTCTCTTGCCTTTCTTCTCATTCATTTGTCTCAGTGCTGCTCTAGCACTTTGGTTTTAACTATTCCTCTTGTTTCCTTTAGCCCTCATAAAAGCAGATCCCTTTTTGTTTCCACAGCCAGCCCAGCTTGCAATCATCTAGTTACTCCTAGCTCTGCTCTTACCCTGCTTATGAAAATGCTGTAATACTTTCGTAGTGGGAAAGTAGGATCATATGGTTGTCCAAATCTTCTTTATATGCTTGTGGAGAAAGAGTAGCCAATCATATATGATGTTGAGGGATGAATACATTTCACAAACAAATAAATAAGAAAATATAAAGAGTAAACTCATTTTTATAAATGTACTCAGTCAAGTGCGGGTAATTTGACAACTGAAACACTATAGCTTAATTTAGTCAAGAGTTACTTTCTGAGGCAAAATAAAAATTCTAGTATTTTGAGGGAGGAAATTTTGAAGTGAGAAAACATCAGAGTAATTCATGTCCCAGCAGAAAAAAATACCTGAATGGATTTTTCTAAAACATAAAAATAAAAATTGATACCACGTCCATTTATATTCAGGAGAACAACTATGAAAACTATCAATTCAAACTCTTGGTGCACAGAGATGTGCTTACTCTATTTACACTAAATAATGGAATTTACTATTAGTTTTAATTTAATGTTCTGTATAACTCAAAACATAACTTATCTTTGTGACAATAAACTATAGTTCATTCTTTTAGGCATAGTCTTTCTAAAAAGATTGTTCGCAATAGCTGTAAAAGAAAAGCTAAGAACTTTAGTCACGTGTAAGAAAATGGCTGAATTTGTGATCTCAAATGAGTAAAGACTGTTGCATAGTTGGATTTTCTGTGAATTCAAATTTAGTGTTGTGACATTGCTAATACCTAGTAGCTCAATCCTCTAACTTTTTTTGGATAATACAAAATCAGATACAATCTGACTGGTAAAACTTATTTTGAACAACTTATCTCTAGTTTCTGTTCTGCCCATTCTTGTGCATTTGCTTTGCTTTGATCACATAAGTAGCCTCTAAAATTAGTGGCATGGTAGAGCCTTTTAGTTCCCTGGATTGTAGCTGCTATTCTATATGCACCTTTACATTTGCCAATATATTTTTCATATGTATGTCTGAATGTGATATTTTTGTGTAGATAAACCAGTTTAAAAATGAAACATGGCACGTGTTTGAAGTGTAAATTATCATTTTTAATGTATGTAGCGTGGGATATCTCCAAACATCTTAAAAATACCTGAACTATTTAAAGAGCCTGTAGAATGTATACTCCATTTGGGGAGGAAAAATGGAAAGATCAGTAAGGTGACAATTAAAACAATGTATGCACTGTACTATAAAGCGTAAAAAAAAAAAGATACATTTATTGGAGGAATCATATATAAAAACAAATTAAAATGTATTTTAAAATTGACAGATGATGAAATAAGTGTAGCTTTTCCTGTCAGCAAATAGTCTGATAGTAAATGTGAATACGTCATATTTTTGTATTAAGCAATATATAATTTTTATATATATATATATATAAAAAAATCATATCTTATACTTTCACAATTGTAGTTCTTCTGTTGGCATTTGGGGGGTTATTTCTGTCATTAGCCTGCCATTCTGAATAGCCATGATAGAATAGAATAGTTACAGTTTAGGTGTTTTGGGGTTTTTTTTCCTATCCTTAGTAGAAACACTTTCATTTTTCTTGAAAATAGAGCATTGCTTTTTGAACACTGCAACTATATTAAATATATATTCATTAATATTAAAATATATTAAAAAAAAAAACAAAACCCCTAAAAATCATGTGGAGATGGGATACAGTATAGAAATTCTGTGGTATCTGCACAGTCCTTCATAAGTGGCAGGGGGTCGTATCTACTGAAAGCATCTTTTTGCTTGTTTAAAATGTAGTGACAGTGGTCTTGCTGCAATGATACAGCTAAGCACAGGTGTTACTGGGATTCTGCTCTGCATTAGCAGGTTAAAACAGTGACAGGTTTTTGTAGCATAAGATATTTTCTCAGAGACTGTTTTGTCTAACCTATATTCCCCTTCTTCCCAATTCTCTTTCAGATAGCGGTTCTGTGGATGAAAAGGTTTAAAATCACGTATTTACTATAGGGATCATGTATTTTGTTGATGTTTGTTTGTGACTTATTTGACCTGTTTGGTTCCTTCATTTTAGTTGTGAAATCTGCATGTTTTTCCCAGCTTTCCACTCTTTTGTTCTCCTTTGAGCGTATTGCAAACGTGTTGCATTTATAACAGGATAACCCTCACTGTTGTGCTTATCATAATTGCCAACACAGGGGTCTGCTGCTGTCAAACATGGTATCTGGGATTTTTGCCTCTAATTATCATCTACACTGCATACACTATAGGACTTAAAGGAAAACAATATTTGGGATGCAGTATCTTATCTTCCCATGGGTTCTTCCAGTGTGTTTCACTGAATGCTGAACGCTACCAAAATGTATTCCAAAGCAATAGTTACTCTAGCTTTGGCCTGGAGCTGACCCTGCTAAACATTTTCATATTAGGTGTTATATGTTTGAGCAGTTAAGTTCTGTCCAAGACTTACTAAGAGCAACTGAGTAACTGCACTTTTTTTGGTCTTTATTAAAGGCTCGGATAGTAAGTGGAAGTTCCTTGGATACTTCCAGACTTTATGCAGTCCAGGCGTTTAGTGGGTAAGTACCAATATGACTGTGAATTTTGTTATTTATATCTGCAAATTAGTCTTATAGTGTTATGTAGTATTTTTTCTAAATTTTGTTCTTATAAGAAACTGAATTATTTTAAAAGTTAGGTAGTCATTTTGTTATGTATGTCATCTTTTAATTTTTCTAAGTCCTTAATCTTTAAGAAATTAATACAATTCAGTTGCACAGGTAAACTGGATGAGAAAATTCGTTACCTCTCTGCTTACAAAATAAATGCCCTTTGAAGCTGTAGTTTGATTTTTGTCTTCATTTTAGTAAATGTGTAGTAATATAATAATATCAGTCTAATTTTTGAAATCTAATATTGAAAGGTCAAGGGAAAAAGATCTTCCATATGCTAAGAGTGAACATGGCAGAAACTTATACATCTTTTTTTTTACTGTCTCTAGATAGAATTATCTTACATCCAGTTCTAGGCATTCTCTCCTTCGAGGAAAATCTCTCCTCCCTATTTTGAATACCTTTTTATTATTCAGTTTGGAAAGGAAAAAAAGTAAAAGCCATTGGTAATTTATCATTAGTATTAACTATATAAATGGATGTTATCGTCTTGCTGGTGCACTACATAATGTTTGCTATAGTTACGCTTTGTTACAAAGAGAAAGCAATGATATCAAATGAATTTATTTCCATCTTCTTATTTGTACATCTTAAAGGTTATACAATAGATTCTAGACACTATGAAGTTTTCTTATTGAGATTCCTACGTTTTGGGTTTTTTTCCTTTAAAAGGTGCTAATGGTATTAATTTGCTTAATATAATTCACATGCTGCTGTGGAAGGTATAATTAGAGTAGCATTTAAGAGCACTGTCAAGCTTTTCAGTGGCTTAGGTAGTTTCTGTATAGTTTGTCATACCTTGAAGTGTTGTATTTCTTCCTTTTTGTAGCTCATAGCAACTTCAGAGTTGCAGTAAAAGTGTGAGACCATATGTGACATTGAGCAGGATTAGTTGCTGAATGCAACGTGAAACATTTTAAATATTGTAAGAGATAACTGATGTATTTTTTCATCTAATGTGCTCTTTGGCATTAGAATAAAATTATAGTGTATGTCTCCTGGCTCACAAACCACACAGTGCTTTCACTTTGATTAGTTGCCATTTTCTCATAGGGTTGAAAAGGTCAAAAATATCTCAGTATTGAAATGATAAAAAGTTTTGCCTTGTATATGGATCAGCACTCTTTCTTACTATGCCAAAACAGCTACTCCTTCTTTAAATGTGGTTTTCTAAGTACTGTATCTCTCTACGTTTTACAAATAGAACAATAGAAGTGCTGTGATTTTTTTTTTTTTTTTTTTTTTTTTGTGACTTCCAAATGCAATACATTAGTATTTCTGTTTGGATTATATTGTTTGTCAACATGAAACTAGCACATCTGAAGCAACTTTGTTTCTCTTGATTAGATTACTGATTTGAATACTTTTTCAGCAATGTATTATCCACAAAAACATTAACTGAAACTCTGTATGCTTTTGTGCTATGGAATATCAGTTCTTTTCTACTCATAGGCTTTCATGGCCTCAGATTTGAGTAACTTATGATTTGAGGCACCACAAACAGTAGTATACTTCACCACTGAGAAGCAGGTATCTGACATCTTAAAAACTATGTAGTAAGCTGTGGTCTAAGGAAACTAAGAATGATCATACTCAGAGGCATTTATGTGTAAGCCTGGCACAAAACTTTGGGGTTTGCATATTAAAAACAACAAAAAAAGGAGCAGCTGTTCATACTATTCAACAACTATTTTGGAGAAGTTTAGTGTATAGGTTACTGCATAGTTTTCAGAACTAGTAAGAGAACAATATTTGACATCATACTGAATTCAAATTCTTGAAATACAGTGTAGAAATTGACATTCTCAGGTACATTTATAGGTGCTGTTCAGTGCAGAATTGTATATTACATTCAGTACTGTATTCCTAGAATAAGAAGAAATGGTTGTTTTTCTCTAAAAAATGAAAGGACTCAGAAATCTGAGACCGAAAATAAAGCTAGTCCAAAATTGTCTTGGATTTATCATCTGTGGTTTCTAATGACCCAGTTTTGATCACGGCATGTGGTTGGCCTTTCATTGCTTAAGCTAGAGAATTATTTCTTAACATAACCAAAATCTTAAGGAAAATTTTCAATTTCGTATTATTTTTCTTTTTTCCTTATTTTCCCTTCTTTAAGTAACCTACTTCTTGTTGCTCTGTTCCTTTTATTGTTTGCCCCCAATATGAGTAAGCTTAAGAAGAGAGAGCTCATTCTGTCATATTGCTTGCAATCTGCAAAACCAGAAAAGAAACAGTTTAACATCTAGTTATTGTGTAGTTTAGGAATAGCATTTTGTAAGCACACTCTTTGAGTGTCGGTACTGACAATCAAGCATTGATATTTATGCATGCAGGAGGCTGCATGTGACCATACAGTTCTGCTGTATGCATAGCCACTTAGTTAATTACAGTTTCCTAACAGGTATAGGACTTAGAAAAGTAGTGTAAAGACTGTATAGAATTCTTATTTTTTGTGGGTTGCACAAAAAAAACAATCTCATAGATGTAAGGAGAGTTTTTGCTACTGACTGGGAGTATACAGACAGAAGTGCTCTTTTAATGGCCCGTCTTCCATTCGCAGGTGAAGAAATTAAAATACTGAATCCTCTGAGAATAAACTGTGTCAATCCCTTGTACAGACATCCTGTAACCACTGCACAGGACTTCAAGTGACTGACAGTAGCTCAATACTAGCCCATGTTTTTAGATTAAACCTGACTTCCTTTGCTGACAAGATTTAGATTGGGCCTCTACTCCCTCTGCTGCCTGCAATATCTTTGTGCAAGTCTCTGTTTCACTAGGCCTCCCTGAAAACAGTGATGCAATTTTCATTTAGCTTCTCATTCAGCTGAAGAATCCTGACATGTCAAAGACTGTTGTGGCTCTGTTTTAATCACACTTTCCACTCTACTCCTGCATGCAAAAATTAATCATAAATTCTAGGTTCCCTCTTCCTCTTCACTGCTGGCGTAACTGGCTACAGCCTTAGCTATGACTCCTTTTCCCTCTTACTCTTCCCAAAAGGTGTTGCTATTTGATGTGAAGGGAGGTTCTTTCCCTCACAACCCTTGATACCTTGCTTTATCTATGTAGAAATATCTCAGTTGCCTCTCCTGCCTTACTCTTCCCTCTCTCTCATAGCGCAGTGCTGTGAACCCACCTCACATGCACCAGCACATCCCAAGTCCATGGCATGGACTGCAAATCTTCATTCTCTGCAATGATCTCCACATGGCTGCACAAGATTAGAGAAAAGCCAGGATGAGAAAGAAAAGGCAAACACCAAATACAATTTTCCGAGGTCTGCTCTATTAAAAGGCAAAAGCTTCATCTTCCCTATTCTTTCCATACCAGTAGAAAAAAAATCTTAATTTTATTTTTCTTTGATTGGTTGAAGATGAGACACTTTTGAATTCATTTTTTCAGTATTTTTAAAAAGTTCATGGAGGTCAGCTGGATTTTTCATCATGTATCTGACTCTAGGGTAGTACTGTTTTACTTTTTCCAGAGACTTACTCTGTATAAATTCACTGCTTGCCTGATGGCAGTGATGTCACAGACTGATAATTTTACTACATGGCCTAATCCATTCTGAAATTTGCTAATGGTACACAGATGGTGCTGCATGCAGATAATTACTCCTTTCTTTCAGTGGCATGTTCTCAATGGTAAAACGATTTATTTTTCTTCTCTGACAAATTCAACTAGATGATTGTTATGCAGAATATTTTCAGAAGCATACAAAAAATAGTCAACATTACAGGTTTTTTCTTGCATTGAATGATAACTTGTGTGCCTTCAGTTCCATCTTCTATGTCAGGGTGTTGTTGGGTGGTTATTGTTGGAGGTGGGGAGGGCAGTCTTTTTTCTTGCATTGAATGATAAATTGTGTGCCCTCAGTTCCATCTTCTATGTCAGGGTGGTTATTGTTGGAGGTGGGGAGGGCAGTGGAGAATTTAATGTATAACCCACATAACATGAACAGTTTGTCTATGGCTGTAGTATTTAATATTCCAAAGACTATACACAAAGACTGATGTTTCACTGTCAATGCAGCATTGCCCTATTTGTTAGTTCTGGTAATGTAGCTATTCTGTTTTTCAACAAAACTTGATCTCACAATCCAGACCAGTATATTAATCTTTACTTCCAGCTGATAGCCAGCACTCTTTGTATACTTACGGTCCTATTAAATGTTATTAGAAGGATCAAATTTGTGCATAGGAGAATTTCTAGTCATATCCCCAAAGTTGCGGCTGTTTCAGAAAAGGTGCAAGAAAAAGTACTAAATATGCAGTTCTCCAAGAAAAAGATTGAAATGTGTGTTTTCAGCACACCTTTATATTAGTAGAACTGTATTTTCCCACTGGATCTCCCAGTGAATTCTCCTACTCTCCACTTAAAACGGAAAAGTATCTTCCCAAGCAGGTGTACATTTATTGTTTATCTATCTGTGAGATAAGAGTTTGATGGGTCAGCATTTCCATGTCTTCGTATTGTTCACCTTATTGTGCACCAATCCCCTTTCGTGCTGTTACCTTCTAGTTTTGTCTGTGTACTTGAAATTATTTTTCGTTTTAATGAGTTCTGTAATTTCTTTCCTTTATATACTGCTTCTAACAAAACATTTATATTGGGAAAAGAAACTAATTAACAGCATTTAAAAATGTTTTTAAAATAATATAAAATGCTATACCTGCTCTTCTACCAGGAGAAACATGGAAATAACTTGCCTACAGACCCCCAATTGCTTTCCACCCCACTCCTCAGTATATGTACGAGTCCAGTGCCTGTTAGCTCTGTCCTTCTATATGTACCTGTATCCACAGACTACCCGTCTTCAGCCAAAGTGGTAGTGATGAGAATTTCAGATGTAGCCCTTCTTTAGCGTATTATCTTGCTTATGCACTTTCCGTCTGTCTTCC